CTACAACGCATCTAATATGGTTTGCTATAAATAACACGTAAAACAAACAGGGTTCGGCTAATATGTGTTTCTGTTGATGGATGCGCATTCTGGCTTCCCAATACATTACAACAACAGTGATGAAAAAACAAAAAACATTCACTCTTGTTCAATGCAAATGCTGTATGCTGGAATATGAGCAGTCATTTATTCTGTCATCACCCGGGTGCTGATAGCGCGCGCGCACAGGTGAGACCTGAACAGCACACGTATCAATCTGTGTTTAAGCTAAACTCATTTAAGCTTTGCCAGTTTAAACATTTAAGAGACAGTCTCAGCCAGAGGACGCGAGCTCGTGCGCGCCGTGAGAAGATCTGTGCGTGTGTTCATCCGAAGCGCGCAAATATTAATCTCTCTCTGAAGTATTGTGTATAAATGGACAAATTCACACAAAAATTATGTCAAAATGCCCGTCTTGGTAAGTATCCTATAGCAGACATAGCCGGCTGAACGTACTGTATCAGTGCACTGAATCAGTGCATTCTCTTAAAGTGACAGCACATTCTTAATATTAATCAAACAGCGACAACAAAGAAATCACTCACTGCTCTTGATTGAATAGCTTTTGTAACTTTAATAAAGATTAATCTTTAATTTATACAGTCAAATATGCAATGCTGTTTTACATTACTTTATTCAATTTCTGTACCTAAAAACTAATGTTGTACACGCATATATTATGTAAACAAAAACTTTTATTTTGGATGCGATTAATCGTTGCCCCGCACTAATTTATTTACATTTATGCATTTGTCAGATTTAATAAAATAATAAAAATAAATATCTTAAATATTTGTTTTATTTTTTGAAGCATTTTAATATTATTTTGATATATATTTAGGTTTTATTTTAATTAGGGAAAACTGATACCGTTTTTTTTAACTAGATTTCTACATTATTTATCTTACAAAAAAATCATCATATTATGTTTGGATTTCTTTGATGGGGACTGTTTACATTATGTAATGGCAGGTGTATTTTAATATGCTGAAACAGGATCTTGTAGCTTCTGAGTTGTTTTTATTTATTTAATTTCTCCCTTTAAATCTTGTTATCCCAAATGAATGGATGTTGCTATTATAATGTGTCATTTTTATTCCATGAAAAACAAAAAAATATATTGTTCAAAAATCTAAGAAAAACATTGTGCAACAAACTGGCACCAGGGGCTAATAGGTCAAAATGATGGTTTCTCTAATCGGAAAAATGACCGTTTATGCTATTACATTGAAAATACAGAAATATTTATAATACATTAATAAAAAAAAATCAATCAATGTATTTCACTGGGCCTAGTGTGGTGAGAAAGCATAGTAACGTGTAAAAAAAAAAAAACCCCCCGGATCAAATCATGTGACTTAGTGTGAATGTGTCACTGTTGCAGAAAAAGGTTGCAAAATGTTTATTTTCCCAACTGAACGAAGTTAATGCAATCTTAAGAGAGCCTCACGTAGGATCTTTCTGCTCCTTGATTCTCTTCTCTTGGATTATTTGAGCCAGATGCTCATCCAAACCAATCTCCTTCAAAGATAAAGCTGCTCGCAATACCTGATCGAACACAAACACACTTCAAAGTGCAGTAGAGAATGAGGTTGATCCATCAGATCAATTGGTCTGGAGTGAAGAATCTGGTCAATATTAATGTTTAGCTCAGATAAGAAAGTACTGAAGCAGCCAGAAATCATCGTCACACTTACCTTGCTTTTAGAGGACTTCAGGGAATACTCTACAAGACAAGCAACCATGAGAGGTTTGCAAAAGTGATGCACGACAATTCAAATGCTGTCTTGAACAATTCGGCCAAAAAAAAAAAAAAAAAACTGACCACAAATGGGTTAAATGATTCTTTAACTGTTCTCGCATAGGTTCATATATTTATAGATGTAGTCTACGTATGATCCTCACCTATCTGTGCTGTCCTCAGCGCTCCAGCTTTGCAGCGGGCACAAATACGCTGCAGCTCGCATCTTCCAGTGACCAGCCGGAGGAACCATTTCAACCAGAAGCGCAGACATGAGGAATAGAAACACTGCCAGATATACCCCAGCATCCTCTGAAACACAAACAGCATCAGTTAGTTTCAGTCCAACTGCACTCTTTCTTAAAAAATGCACGAGTGTACATGCAACAGGGATACAACATACACAAGACGGACACTTTCCATGTATTTTCTTCGATGTATACAGCTCATGCAAGCAGTTGACACTGGCTTTAGAGCTACAGACTTTATTCAGTCCAATTGAGCTGTTAAACCCTGTACTGTGTGAAGTCAGCAAGTTCTGCTAGGAACAAGCATTATTAGTCATCTCTAACCAATCAGATCTGTGCTGGACTCTGTTTACACTGTCCACCATCATATCAGACAAGCTAGTCAATTAGACGACCAATGCAGCTTAATCATAAACCAAAAGTGGTGCTTAAGAAAATCAGCTGGACAACACAACAGGTTGTTCGCGCGAGAGACATACTGGACATGAAACCCATAAATCATCAAATAATTCAACTGATAACGCATTTCACGTGACGCTACCAACGTTTATACTGCTTCACATTGGCTCACCCGATTTTTCTGGCATTTAATACTATGTGCTAAAGATATTGTGGAGTCCAAAAACTGTATGGGTCGCACTTACTAGCAGCCTCGTCGCCCGGAAATGATTCGGGTTAGAGCGCATGCGCAGAAGAACTTACCGTGAACCCAACAAGTGAGCGCTGATGGCCGCGTTTCTCTGACAAAACCCTTTCTCAATGCGTTTCATGTTCTCCATCACTGTCAAAATGTATTTTTTTTATTAATTTAGAGTAGGTTATAGAGAGAAGTATATGTTCGCAGCAGTACCTGACAAACGCAACGTTAACTGTTTAGAGTGCACTATAAAGTGAGGTTTTATATACGGTAGGCACTATATGGGATATAAAGCTATGAATATATATATAAATAAACAATACGCTTATCTGGAGGAAAATTTCTCTGACTTGTCTAAAAAACGAATTTACGGGTTTCCTAATCCTTTGAATTTCCAAGCCTTTTAAAAAGCAATTACATTTTAGAGCTGAACATAACTTTTATTAGCCTATTATTATTATTAGCGTTGCCTAACGATTAGTCGCGATTAATCGCAGCCAAAAAAGTTTTTGTTTACATAATATATGAGTGTGTGCTGTGTATATTTATGTATATAAAAATACAAACACATGCATGGATATATTTAAGAAAAATATGCTGTTTATGTATTGAATATATTTATATATAATATAAAATATAACAATATAAATATATACATGTAAATATTTTTTAATCTATACTGTATGTGTGTGTTTATATATACATAAACACAGTACACATACATATAGTATGTAAACAAAGACTTCTTTTGGATGTGATTAATCGCGATTAATCGTTTGACAGCACTAATTATTATTATTATTATTATTATAAAACACAGAAGATATCGGGGAATACAGAGGATAGAGAAAAAGAAAGAAAATAAAAAAATTCACGATTTACTTAAATATCGTTCTATAACTTCCTCAAAGCTTTTTTTACTGGAGACTTTTTTGAAGTGATGACAATAATAGCTACATGTAGATCAGAAGCTAATATTTTGCAGCTGGTTTAAATTTAAGGTATCTGGGCTTTGTGGATTTGGTATTTACCCATCACATAAAGTTTAAGACATCATTGTCAGAAATATCAGAATGGAAAAAGAACCTTACTGTACTACAGAGCTGGTGGAACACAAGAAATAGAGAAGCTGAGGTTTGAAGCCAGAATTGTTTAGAATAATAACAGAAATAGAATAAATGTGAAATAGATTCTTCCTCCTCTTGGCAGAAAGAGCAAAGAGGAGAAATATTATGGTTAAATTGACTTAGAATTAATTTATTTTACTTTATTTTTAAGCAAAAGTTTATTTGGCGCAGTCCATACCTTTAAAAAGAGTAACGTTTGGGTAACGTGCTTAGCATTTTGCCTTAGCTTTAATAACAAAATTGTTGCTAGTAACGAGAACATTTCTCAAAAAATAATTAGAACATTTAGGATCCATTTATAAAAAGTTGAGGAATTTTCAAACTGAAATTTCACCAAAAAGAGCTGAACATAACTAAATTAACTTCATTTACAACGCGTCGCAGAAGCAATTTCCTGTGAATGTGCAAGACTTCCGATTCTTTAGCGGCTAGGGGTAAACAGTACAGTACAGTAAATGTTAAAACCATGCTACAAACCAGTTTATGATTATGGTAATAAATTAAAATATGATAAATACCAGTTTGAAACTTTTCGTACAGCTAAAATAACTGGAAGCGACTGACACCGGAAGCCTCGCACGTTCTTGCTTATACTTTAAAAACTAAGATGGATATTCACTGCAGATTTCCACGGCTTGTCCAGATATTTTAGTCTTAAAAAATTTTTTCATGATATGTCGACGTTTTCCATGCCTGTAGGATCCCAAAGTCCTTCTTGCGTTTTTTTTTCTTCTTCTGTCAAACACACTCAATGTTGTCTTTCACAAACATATGTGACCCTGGAGCACAAAAGCAGTCATAAGTCGCTGGGGTATATTTGTAGTAAGAAGTGATGTATAAATCTCAATTTCAAAAAATTGACCCTTATGACTTGTTTTGTGGTCCACGGTCACATATTTAGTTGGATAAAACCACAAAGTGCTTTTGAGTTCTGTTCAATTCTATTTTAAAGAGTGAGAAAGCTTCTGTGAACAAAAATACAAGAACAGACCAAAACAAAAAAAACAAGGCAATTATTGACCAAAATACTCCATAAATCATAAAATAACAGAAAAGAAACAGTCGAAGAAGCAGGGAAATAAATAAACTCACTAATACAGATAAGACCAGTCTCACACTCAGTGAGGTGCAGTGCATTTAGTGACCGTACTCTCAGACAAGAGTAACACTGTGAAACAGTCAAAACTGTTGTTTCTCTGCAGGTGTTTTACTTCTAAATCCATCAGGAGGCACCAGAGAGCTGAAGCGTAATAACGGCAGGTCCAGAGAGTGGTGGCCGTCTTTGCCCATCCTCATGGATGGAGGTGGTGGGGGGAATATGGAGGGGTTCGCATCACCGCTACCATCATTTCCTGTGTTATTGTTGTCATCATCACTGGCAGCGGTTTCCACGACACTGCTAGCGCTTGTTTTCTGGCAGCGAGGAAGGAACGAGCCCCTATAGTATCGATGATACAGAAGAAACGCCACCAACAGCAACAGCACGATGAGCAACGTGATCAGGCTGATGCCGGCGTAAACACCCCTGAGGATTCTGGGAGATGATGTCCAACTACAGTCTAGAAAGTGAGTGGAGACAAAAATGTAATGTCAAGACAGAATTTTCATTTTTGGGTAAACAATCCTTTTAATGTGATATGAGAGCGGTGTCTGAAATCTCTCACACCTGTCAATATAAACCGCTGACAATCAGTCTCTTACCAGGTTCAGCAGATGCCACACAAACGCTGGCTCCCGGCCCATGAGGAACCTCACGGTAACCATGGATACAGTGACAGGAGTACGATCCAAACTGATTCACACACTCAGCGTGAGTGTCACACACCACCATTTGTGTCTCACACTCATTGATGTCTGTTCAAACACACACAAACGGGCCTTGCAGAAATGATTCATATGAACAGGTATTTTTGGTAACCTCATGGCTGCATAATGTCCATCTAAAAGTATTTTAAACAATATGTTTCTAATTCTTTTAAAATTATAATGTGCTTTTGACCATATGGGGAAAAAAAGTGCATATATATGTACACATTTTATATAAAATTAATATTTTACTAAATATTTTGGAATCTGAAATTGCTAGACACACTGCTTTGATTTTATAACCAAGTTGTTGCAAATTTGAAGTTTATATCACAAAAAAATGAGGTTCCTTTGAGATCTCGTTTAGGTGCTATACCAAAAATAGCCACTGGGTGACACCCAAATTCCACTGAATTTTTAATGCCTTTTTCGGTCACAAATTTATCAATTTGTCACAATATTATTTATATCATAAAATAGTCACCAAATATAGAATCTTGAGACTCAGCCCTTTCCAATAATAATCTTTTATCAAGATTAGAAAAAGTTTTGATTATAAAGTATTGTAGTAAATTTCGTAATATGACACTTGACACCACCCACTAGGAGGAGGAACCCAGTAAAATTTCCATGGTTATGCAAAAGGCTGACTTCAAAACGGTTTTCACAGGATGAATTTCAAGTGTTTAAGCTTTCGAATGATATCTAATTTAGGATGATTACTAAAATATGCAATCGATGTTATTTTTTAAAATAGTGCCCCCCCCCCCCCCTAAAAAAGTAATATTACAAATATTAAATTTAAATAAAATCTAAAGTAGTGGTCTATTCCATCAAATCAATGCATAAAATAAAGTTAAACAGCATTAAAAAAAAGAAGAAAAAAAAAAAGTCAACCATAATACATGCTGTAATGAACATATGGACACTTATTATTTTAAGAAATTTTAAAGAATTTTAAGAAACTGGTGGGGGCCAGTTGCATAAACATAGTACTTAATGGCTAAAATAAACTAAAACTATATAGACCTTAAAAAAACAATGACAAATGCACAACAAAATTACTAAAACTTAAAAAAAACTAATTCAAAATAAAAATATAAAACCTATACAAAAAAATAAAATTAAAGTGATATGCAACTGGCCCCAGGTTGACCTTTGGTTAAACTCTATACCTCAGTAAGGTCCTGACACAGCAATAGTCCTGCAGAGAGCAGCGTGTGTGTGTGTGTGTGTGTGTGGGAGAGAGATGCGTCTTTGGCTAGCATGCGGTCAGGTCACAGTTTCTGTAAATACAGAGGAACCTGAAAGACCACAGGACAAATCAATGTGCGTGTGGTGTGAGAGCACCTTCAGTAGAGACGGATGCAATGACGCCCTGTGTTTCGGAGGTTTGGGATTTGACGGTTCTGCCCTGAAGCCACTGCAGACTGGACTGAAGATCCCTGTGCGTCTGCTGCCCTACAGCCAGCTTCTCAAACTGCAGCCACACGATGAACAACACGCCAGAACTCAACCTGGAAACAGATTGATTGACAGTCTGTGAGCAGATTGGTTTGGAAGAATCCAATTATTTTGCTTTAGGAAGTGAGCTTTGTACTTACTTTTTTAGTCTTTTGAAGTCCAGGCTCTTTGGAGTGAGATGTCCAAATACTTCTCGTATCTATAAACCAATTTTGAGCCCAAAAGTTGCTCAATTGACAACAATATTCTGATGATCTATAAAGGGAATCATAATGTTGAGCCTCACCATGGTCTCTAGAGCAGATCTGAGTGAAGAGGATTCTTCACGATGTTCAGGCTCCAGATTGATCTCGACACTCACCTCGAACAAGAGCTCTGATTGGACGGAAGATATGACATCAGAATGTATGCAGTATGTCATCGATCATTTGTAAAAATGAAACGTAAATGGTAGCTGCATTATTAGGTTGATGTGTTAAACCATTTGAAAGCACATCTCACCCGCAGGAAAATGCCTGTTGTGGGTGACATTTCGTAAGGTTTGCCGGTAGAGAGCTTTCTCTGTAGAATGAAAAAGAAAGATCAGAAATGTAGTCTAAGAAGAATAATAATAAGAAGCTTAAATAGCAGATCAATAGGTTATCAAGCCAACCTAATTAAGATGCCTGGTTCATATT